AAATTTTCTTAAAACTCGCCATACTAATTTCCCAGTTTCCTAAGAACACGGTACTATTCGTTTTCCCCCCTAAAGGAACATGTGAACCTTAGAAATCGACGCCGTCGAAATTGGTGACGTCACTGCGAGTTGGACGCGGGAACCTCCGAGAGGCGTCGCCACGTGAGTTCTCCTTTTGCTAATTTTCTGTTTTACCTTGCGTGTTATCGCCGTCTTTCAGTATTGCGAACGGCTAATTCACTAAGACCGGATAAACCACTTTTCTCTTTTAATGTCCCTTTAATGCGACGTTGCAATACCTCAATGATCACCAGAAGCGCCCTCATTTAAATGCGGTTACCGTTCGAGAACGCATAGAAGAGCAAGAAAGAGAGAGAGAGAGTTGCCATCGTCGCAAACGTGCCATCGTCACGTTTGCGACGATGGCAACTATCTTGCACATCGATTGCGCTAATATATTCAAATATAGGTACGCGATAAGCGTGCGAAGGTTGTTGCCCTAACACTCATCTATAGCTTTCAGAGTTACGGATCAGCGCAGCTGGTGAAGTGCGTCATCGTACATTTCTTATTTGTGAAATTCCCCTGGCAGGAGTGTTGAATCACCTGTTATACTTCGACTTGGCAGTATATACACGTGAGCTAAACACTTCTAAATCGCGTTCATCCATCGCGCCCTTAAGCTACGTGACGGAACTTAATGTTTCATTTTTTCTCCCGAGCAAGAAGTACAGAGCTGAAAAAAAGTCAACAAAAAAAAAAAAAAAACGCGAAGGAATCTAGGTGAATTGCCGGACGGCAGTCGAAGACCAGCCTAAAAATCAAGCACGTTTCCAAGCACTTGTACCTATAGTGCCATACGCTGATAAAACACGTGGACGCGCGGCTACTGAAGCATTTTTTTCCTCCCGTAGTGGAATGCGACCCTGATGGGCTCAGATGCGTCACTCGAGAGGGCGGCAGAGTTAAAAAAGTCGAAGCCCGATCACGGTAGTGAACATTTCATTTTGTGTTATTCCTAAAGCATGTGCGCGATATCACACACAAAAAAAGAAAATACTGCGAGGGAGGGAAATCAAAAGCTTGCGTTAAAAAAAAAAAAAAACCAGATGCCATTGACTTGGAGGAAAATTAGAACACGATGTTTTTGTTTCTTCCTGCTACACAAAAAGCAAATCTGTAGAGCGAGACAGAGGGCTGTTTCTGTAAAGATTACTTATATAGTAAAATTCATTGAGTAGTTACCTATAGAAGTTAGCGCGTACGTTAGATTTAATAAAATTAAAACCGGGTATTCAGCTGTGGTTCTATATACTTGAAGGGCTTGAATATATCAATGGTTACATTGCACGAGCATTGATATTATCAGGTGTGAGAGATATCACAAACACACAAAAAAAGGCCCATATTGGTTTACTGCTCGCCGATTAGCAGTTGAGTGTAAGCGGAGGTATACATTACTGAACACTTCCATAATTCATTCGGTAGCCTGTTGTACAGTATTATCATTACTATAATATAAACGAAATGCATATACTTATCGTACACACGCCGCTGTCATAATGATGCCTCCTGATAAATGTGCCAAACTTTAAGCGATAAACTTTAAGCGTTACCTTTCGATGTGAAAACGAAAATGATAAAAAGTCATTGTAAGGAGGAGTGCATTGACGTCTGCCTTCAACAGAGAAATAAGTGCTATCTGCGCCTAACACCTGAACAATACCGACTTTGCAGCAACGTCCCATCGTTGCGCAATCTTGAAAAAGAGCAGTTTTCCACGCTCCGGTCTTCGTTAAAAACAGAAAGTAAGTATTTCGTCGCTCGTTGTATTTAAAGAAACACCTTCGCGTGGTTCGCCAAACTCTACAGAGAAAACGCCGAACGTCGTAAAAAAACAATAAAAAAATGGCGAAAGAAAGAGAAGCCCTTGTAAGTAACTAAATTTCACCGAGCAAACAGACACGAGAGATATGTGTGATGCGACTCAAATCGCGCGCACCGATCCCAAACAAGCCACGCACATCGCTTCAGCACCAACCGGCCCCACGACCCTGGTTCAAATCTTCACGATCCACCTCTGCAGAAGAGAATCTCAAAAGCTCGCCACTTAAATAGACGCAAACAAAAGAGCACCAAAGCGCTCACGCGAACTTCACACACTGCAGTGCGCTCTTGTTTCACACACATTTCATTTTTGTAATACGCGAGCGAAATAACAAAATAATAAAAAAAAGGAACACATGCGACAAAACGAAACAAACTCGTAACGACAAATGCGGGAGACTTTTGTTGTAGAGGAACGAAATGTCGTATGGCACAATGAAAGAAACAAAACAAAACAAACAAAAAGTTCCCACGAAAGCAAGTTTTCGTTAAAAGCGAAGGTGTTATACACCATTCCACTCGGAATTGTAGTACACATATATGCCAGCTGCATAAACGCAAGGAGGTCCTCCCGTGGACTTCAATTCGTTACATAATACGCAGGCAGTAAACACCGAGCATGAGATGTGGGCACAATTACAAAATGCAACAGTCGGGCTCACAGGGAACTTTCTCGCTAATAACACGTACGGTGTATACGTATACGCGCGGCAGAGATCAAGCCTTTCAAAGATGGAGCGCAGCGAGCAGATATACAACGGCTGCAACTTTCATTTAGGAAGCGACAAGGCCTTTCACCAGCAACCTGCTCAGTGCAAAAGCGAGAGAATTTCACGATTTTTCTCAATCTATAGCATCACAAAATACTAGCGACACACATAGTAGACATGCACGCGTTCATGAAGGCGATCATGTTCACCATATATTATACAATGCGTCATTTTCTAGCTAAGTCATGAACGTTATGCGTCAATAAATTAACGCTTAGCTGCACGTGATTGGATCGAATGGCGACGGGTGGGTGACCGAAAAAACGGCGTAGAGACAGAAAACCCGACAGATTTCTACGTTTCGTGGGCTGTTAATAATATCTTATTTGAAATTATCGCTACCAACATGCTCAGGGAGGCCCAATCAAAAGTATGGGATAGCTTTTTTGGATGTATGACTTTTATAGTTCTAACTTCCTCACTGCATGAATAACAATTCTGATTCTGAAAGAATAAGGAAATTTACTAGAAGTTTCTTATATTCTGTATAGTATACTCTAGAATTCTATTTATAATTCATATGGGCACACATACCTTCAAGTTACTTGGGACTTCACAAGCTGCTACAGTAACGAATTTCTCCTTGTTAGGAGGGTATTTTCACGGGCTTCAACAAAATTGACTTAATATCGTGTGGCGTAAACACCCCTGTAGGTTTATCTCATAGCAGAGCTATACTATCATAAAGTCCAGCATCACCATTCCTCGCGTAATTGAAGGGGGGGGGCGGGAAGGGGCTGGGGTCGCTATGTTTCTCAACAATTATCTTACCGAGCAAAATGAAGGCTCTTCTTATTTGAAGACCTATTGCAACGGGTGCGTTCCACGGACATTCCAGTATATACGTGAAAAAAAAGTTTCACGGGTAGTTTTAAAAGTGTCAAATATGCAGCAATATACAAAACGCGCTAACCGTTAAAAATATGTCAATGCATCACACGAACTCACGCACATGCTCTTTTGGCAAAAAGAGGAGTGTATACATACGAAAGCGACACAAAGGAAAATGTTGCCGTACGCCTCTTTTCTGAGATAACAAGCGATATTGTCGCGACATACGTGAATAAGAGGGAAGCCAAGCGGGATCAGGATTCACAGCCAGTTTCGAAGGGCACAATATCTACATATCCTCCTAAGACCTTTAGACAACACAATTAACGCTGAACGCCCAAGCCAGCCGACTTCAGTATTACTTAGTCTTCGAGCCGGTTACTAATATCTACCGGTCGAATGTTGTTGCCGTAAAAATTTTCCGTGTGAATAACACTAGGCGTACGCTAGCCGTACATTTGTTGAGCAGAAACAAAGTGACCGTGTCATCAAGTTCGCTATCGCGAAAACGGTGTTCATATGCCTATCGATTTCATTTGCGCCCGCGTGTTGATGCTGTCCATTCTAGATATTTACGTGACGTAGCACTATGCTCGAAATGTACTTTACATGATATTTTCATCTTGGATGATGCGCCATGCACCCTACACTCCAGCCCACTTTGATATGCAAAGGAAAGAAAAGAACAGAAAGGCAGGAGGCAGGGAGGTTAATCATGAGAAAGCATTTGGTAGGTAAGCAAGTAATCTGGATGTATTAGGAATATAAATGTGTGTGTGTGAGTGAAAAAGAGGGGGAGGGGAGGAGGAGACGTGAGGCCGTTTGCACAGGCGATATTAATTTCCTCAGGAAGCGCTAAAAGAGAGCAAATGGGCCTAGTAGGCCCATGTCAGTTTTTTTTTCTCGTCTATATTGCTGTCGCCGAGAGATGGCGCCACATACAGTTGTCGCCAATGGGGCGGAGTAAGCTTGGTAAGTAAAAAGAGCGAGAACATTCATGAGTGTCGGTGATTAACTAGCTAAGAGCAGTGTGAATACAGATGGAAATAAACTTCCATCACCCCTGCAAGGAAGTTTCGATAAAGATAAAAAACAATTTCCACGCACACTCGCGGCGAAACCGATACCGGGGCGTCGCCGCCGAACGCACGATGCACTGCCACTCGAATTCACATCTGTTCATCTCCGCAAGAAGGTAGCACGATCATTTACATCACTTTTTGAATGTCCTACTAAGGGTGGCATCATCTCCCGATAAGCTGCATCCTCATTACAGCGCAAAATATTGAGCCGATGTTTGATAACGTACCCTTACGGCAAAGACAATGCCGGACAGAAAACTGCCGCCGTACATGAACGGCAAAAAACACTCGAAGGGCTAAGCGTATTTCAGAAAACTTTGAGGACTCGAGTAAACGTCTGATTGATTGATTGATTGATTGATATGGGGGGTTTAACGTCCCAAAACCACTCTATGATTATGAGAGACGCCGTAGTGGAGGGCTCCGGAAATTTAGACCACCTGGGGTTCTTTAACGTGCACCCAAATCTCGAGTAAACGTCTGTACGGTGTGCAAAATGTCCCAAGAGGATATTATTTGTCACAGCTGGAAAAAGCAATGCAGTAGAGGTGACACTTCGACATCGATCGTCTGTTTACACACACACTTTCTGGCTACCGCTATAAAGCGCTCATCACCGGCTACATATTTACAATACATAACACGTAAGTTGGAAGCCTTAGAGGCTCACTAAGCACAAGACTCGAAGACGCAAACATGGTCGAACGCGCATGAATCTTGCAAAATGCAAACGACAATTTTTGTTATCATGGGCAATTCACAGAATATAACCAGAATGCTCGTACAACGCGCCGATATTTGTATGGGACACACAAGAAACAGTAGCAATGCATTCAGGTTTCGGGCAAGAAACGCAGTTAATGTCACGTTTTTGTCCTGTGCTTGTACCTCGAGCAAGCTGTGTCCAGCTCACTCATTTCAAAGGGTAGAAGCCCCATGAGGGTGAAATTACATATCAAAACAGTACTCGCGATTATGAAAAAAAAAACAAAATACAATGACGCATACACGCAACGAGAAACATCTTTGGAGCAGCTCTCGAAAACCAGGTATAACACACATCGCGTGCACACAAACGAAAACAGATCTTGTTCGCACAGTCGATCAATGGCACGAGAGTAAACCACTAACGTAAATTCATGTATAAGAAAAAAAAAGTATGCCTAAAAATGTACGATCGCACATCGACGAGCACGAATCGTGACGTGTATACTTTCATTAAATAGATCACTTTGTGAAGATAAAAAATCCAAAAAGAAAAGTGCCCACTAGGGCTAAACCACTCGGACACCACTCAGTCATCCTCATTCATCGCGCACGCACACGACATGACGTCAACAGCACTTGGAAAGCGTGATGGGAAGTCGCCCTATATAATAATCTTAGACTACATGGATTCGTATCACGGTGACTCCGCGCACACGAACTCTCTGGCCGGGAAAATGATAGAAACCGCGTAAGTATATATGCGTCATACCAACTCGACGTCCAGACCTTTCAACAGCTGCATGCCCACTTTCACGTGTGAAGCACTTGGTTGAACGTATGCCCTGACGCCTGCAGACCCCCTTGCCCCAATTATTTTGCTGGCATTTTGAAATACGAAACTAAGGGTCATACGACATGTCCCTCTCCTTTTTTTTTCGAGAAGGAACTCGGGTGCTTTACCGAATATAACCGTTTCGACGGCCGTTATATCACTGGGTGAACGCTTGGCCATGGGGGCTTGTCGGAGCGGTCTTCAGATGTGGAAGGCCTCAGCAGCATGCTCTGGAACAGAGGACACTGACAAAGGACACCCCGCGCAGGCGACACAGCCAACAGAAAGCAACGCGGTCCGGCATTGTCCATGGGACGGAACTATCGCGATGGTAAATGTAACGTCTCTTTGTACTACACAGCCTTCCGCGCACGCTGCTGCGGTGGCGGAAGTTGGGGGCCCCCTTGGAGGCAGACCGGGGACGGAGATCCTGGCCGCCTATCGCGCGGCGCCTCAGTAGCATCCACAGCGGTCGACGATCATGCCGGGCAGCACGCCGTAAACGATGTTGTGGTTGTCGTCGAAGTACAGCATCGAGATGGCGGAGATCTTTCGCGGCGCGCAGCAGGGTCCCGGCGAGCCGGACAGGTTGACCTGCTGCACGACGTGCGTGTGCGGGTACTTCTGCATGAACACGTAGGGGCACTCGCCGCTGCAGTAGTTGGCCTCGTACCGCTTGGGCGCGATGATCCAGTCCCAACCGAACTCCTCGAAGTCCACCGTGAGCGGATAGCGGCAGCAGCGCTCCTCGCTCGAGTTCTCCTGGCAGTTGAGGCCCACCATGCGCCGCGTCCGGCTGCGGCCGTTCTTGTCCACCATCACCACCAGAAAGGGCCTCTGCGAGAACGCCATGCACTCGTTAGGAGTAGGCGTGCACATATATGGGGCGCGCAGGGACGGCGCCAGGACGTCGCTACTGCCCCTTTTTGACGCATTAGAGAGGGGGAAGTGAAAAAAGGGAGGAGGGGCCTGTACCCTTTTGAACAAGAGTTCCAAAGTGGTAGACAATTAGAAGCAATTATCTGCAGCGCAAACTTGTTACACGAGCAAAATTAGCCATAAAGGAACGTGTCTTATTCGTGTCCTTCTGTTCATGAGTTCGCGTGGCAATCATTGCTTCCAATGGCCCTTTGTACCCTCTCCTGGTTCGCCCCTCACAATCTTGGGGGGGGGGGGATATTTTAATGAGTGGGCGCCTGCCCCCCCCCCCCCCCTGCTTTCTCCGCCTCACGTGGTCCTTCCTGGCACCACCCCTGGGGGCAAGTCTGCCGTCAGAGCAAGCTGAAAAAGCTAGGCAGCGGTCAGACCAAGCCTGCATGCCGTCAGCGACCTTGCCGATAGACAAGCTTAAAAGAGCTATATATTTGGACACATGCTACAGGGCTAATATTAGATAATATTCTAATGCAAAAATACATATATTTTCTGGCACAATAATGCGCGACCGTAATTTTTCTGGAGACACCATACAAGGTCGTTTTGTTCTTGTTTTTTTTTCGGGGGGGGGGCAAAGGCGAGGGTGATTGATTGATTGGTGAAGTTTAACGTCCCAAAACCAGCATATGATTATGAAAGACACCATAGTGGAGGGCTCCGGAAATTTCGACCACCTGGGGCTCTTTAGCATACCCCCAAATCTGAGCACACAGGCCTACAACATTTTCACCTCCATCGAAAATGCAGCCGCCGCAGCCGGGATTCGATACCGCGACCTGCGGGTCAGCAGCCGAGTACCTTAGCCACTAGACCACCGCGGTTGGGCGGGCAAGGGTGTGGAGGGGCATCACAAATACAATGCTGCCCCAATACACATTTTTTTGTATATTATACATATTCAAACGTGTACGCAGCTGCATAGAGAGAACGGCACATGTTGTGAAGCAATTCGCACATGAAAAGGCGAGCATGCATTTCGCGAGACATCCCCGAGGCCGTGTGCACATGCATGCACGACTGCTCGCCCTCGGTCTCGTTCAAGGAGGTTTTTTAAGCCCCTTGGTCTCGTTTGCCTACCAGCGCCTTATCGCGATAAACGGCCAGTGGCACGCGACAAGGGGCCAAGGACGTCCCGGTTCGAGTTTCGGCTGCGTACAGTGTTGCCGTTGGCGGCTACGAACTTTTCAAGAAACCTCCCTCGAGCGCTCGGCGCGTCAAACTTCACACGATCCTTGGCTATACATAAACTCATTTTTTTCGTTTTTGCCAATTTGCACGTCATTGAACTTCGTAAGTTTATCTGATACATTGTCTTCGTAGAAAAGCCACGCGGTGCCCGGTTTGTGACGAAAAATGTGCGCCCATTCATTCTGACAGCAGGTGGGCGTCACTTGAACTGTTTCGTTTGGAATATTACGAGCGATAAGTTCGTGCTGATCGACGCTGGTTAAAATGATGGCCAACTTCGATTTCTGTTTGATATCATAAAGCAAAGTAACGAGTAATGCTGACTAATTATGTATAAATGGTAGCTAATGTCGAATATTTCCAAATGCCCGCTTGTGGCTAAATTACTGTCAAATGCTATCCTCTGTTGTATCACCAATAAACACAATCACGTGCATTGTTGTAACAAACATGTATCGATTAAATTTTGAACGATATTGACTGTACATTCTTTTCAATCAGACTCACGGTCAATATTCAGTCAAATATATAATGAATGTTCAGTTGCAGTCGATGTTGACTGAACATTCTGTTCAGTCGATATGACGCTTGATATTCAACCACTATATACTATAGCTGAGTAAACATTCTTTTCAGTCACTACTAAGCCAGCGTATACGTTATCTACGAATTCTTTACAGGCGAGCTGTGGCTGCTAGAAATAATTGACATGCCACTTTGTGCAATGACGTTCCTTTCAGTCAGGATTGATGCAGCGTATATATGATCTACGAATTCTTTACAGGCGAGCTGAGGCTGCTAGAAATGATTGAAATGCTGGTTGGTGCAATGTTATGAGTCTGGGACATCATACCATGCAAGCTTGGTAAAAAAAAAAAAAAAACGTTTTCTGAGCTTTCATGCTCTCTCTCTTTTTTACTACCTGAAATTCAACATTGCCTTCTATGCATCTCAACTCAATGGCTGTCTTCTAGTACTAGTGTCTTTTCAACATACATAGCACAATCTCAATGTATCGCCACCTTTGCATAGGAATGCAAACGGTCAACCACCGAGGTCCCGTTTCAGACAAGTGAGCAGAGATGGAGTATTATCGCGTGGTCTAATCGTGACAACAAGGCCAGCTCTCCATGCCAGACCCGTAGTGTCAGCGCGTGAAGCATGCCCTTATCTCACGCAGACAGCCCTGGGCATTAATGCGCAGTGGCAGATTCTTACATACCACGGAGTGAGACCGTGAACTGGATTTTCTTTAGGGCAAGGACGGTCAAGACTCTCGACTCCTCCTCGATATAGTTTCTGCACAATACTATAGACTTATCCAAGCGTTGTGATGATCAACACTTGACGCTTAGAAAATATGTCTGCCAGTTGCTGCAATATACGGCATGCCTTCGGAATGCGAGGACGTCGACGGCGTGCAACACGCTATTATCCCGTGCGTGATAGGTGTTAACCATGAGACAGTAAAACGCCCATTTTTACAGTCCGCTAATGGCGTGAAAACTTACTGTATACACGGACGGCACCACGTAGAATTTCTCTTTGCGTGTAAAGGCTGCACGACCATGACTCACGTTTCACAGAACTCGAACGAATTATCGGGAAAACAATGAAGACAGTTAAGTATAAACACAACATCGTTTGCTGTGCGGTTACATGCGCTGGGAAAAGTTTGTAGAAATGTTTGACGTCAGACGAAAACTTATGGAAGGAAAATTAAAGGCAGCAATAAAATCGGGAGATGTTAGAAATAGTAGAAATTATACCCATAGACTGTTTGATAAGAATGATAAGCTTTTGGTGTATATTAGAAATTCAAAAAATAAAAAAAGGCAATTGTACAAACGCGCAGTCATCTTACCATACGTTTGAGCTACATCTGATATTCAGCAAATTGGTAGTTTCGAGTCATGGTAAAATTGGTCAGGCTAAATATTAATTGCGTAAATTGTGATACGATTATGAGTTCGTCCACAGTAGCACGTGTTTCGAACATCCCATGGACTTGGACATTTCGTGATGTTCCCTGTGACGGAATTCCGAGTTTTTGAAGAACACTCATTGTCCCGTAATTAGAATCTCTGAAGGCATTGACGAACTATGTAAACGAAATGCAATAAAGTTTCACAATATAGAGTGTGTGTTATACGTAGAAAGCGCTGACAAAAAAATTGTGTACTTACACATACTTCAGGGGAAGCTTCAACTTGTGTAGAATGCCTAAAAAGGCCCTGAGCGAAATTCGTAGGCCTTTCTCTTTGCTACGTTAATCCATTACTATATATATATTTGCGTCTTCTTTCCTGAAAGCGTTTACTTTATAGCAGGGCTGAAATGCGTCGACTCTCTGGAGCTTGTTTAAAGAGCACTTCGCAGCTCCTCCACGAGGCACACGGTGAACAACGCGAAACGGTCATACGGAACCGATCGAACCATTTCACACTTTTTTGCAATAATAATGAAAGGGGTGAGGGGTGTGTGTCTGGCACAATGACTTAGAGTGAGTGATCCTTTTCTTAATGTGTATTTATACAGATAGTTCGGTATACTGCCCAGTCGCTTCTATCGAAGAGCAGTCAATGCTCGTATACCACACAACCGACTTGACGCAGACAAAAAAAATAAATAATAAAAAATTAAGAGCCCATTCTCTGTATAGACTCTCAATTATTTCGTGTGGAAAGTGCTAGATATATCCAGGACATCACACCTTTTTGTTCTCATTTCACTGTTATACCAATAGCTGCGAGGGAGACGATTAAGAGTACGTGTAGGCAAAATGAGGGCAAGAGAAGCTTTTCGTGCGTCTGTCTGACTTACTGTTTTTCACTTTTAGATGCGGAAGCATCTTATACTCGCGCCTTGTAGTGCGCCGTCCGCGCCGTCCGCACCGCTTCTCGAACATTCGACAGCTGACGCGCGCGCATGCGCCGTCGCGCCGTCGCCCACTCTTCCACCATCTGTGCATCCCTTCCTCCTCTACACACCGCGCGCGCTTCACTCCTACACCATCTGTGCACCCTTCCTCCTCTACACACCGCGTTCGACATCTACAATTCTCCTGATTCTCCAGTGGACGCGCATGTGGCGTCGCGCTTCGAGAACATTCAACAGCTGACAGTGCATGCGCCGTCGTGCTGTATATATACTCAAGGTCGGCGCCCGCTCACTCAGTTGCCGCTCGTCGGTTGGTTTGTACGGCGCGTCGACGTCCAAGGTCGCGGTGAAATGAATTCCAACGAATCCACAAACACAATGATCGACGTCCCTTCGACCAGCGCCGCCCTTTCGCATACGTGTGTACGTGTTCACTCATTTAACACCCCCTCCTACAACCACGTTAACCAATTTAGCCATCGACCCAAGTAAGTCGCAATTTAACACCCCATTTCACAACCACGTTAACCAATTTAGCCATCGACCCAAGTAAGTCGCACTTTAACACCCCGTTAACCAATTATATGCTCCGCATCCTCCTCAGTGTTCCCCCGAGGGAAGCTGCGGGCAATTTTTTTTTCTCTCATCATATTGCGCAATGCTCTCTCGAAACCGTTTCCTTTCTACACGTTCACTTGCATGCTTGCCGGCGCGGCATTTCTGCAGCTGCAGGCGACAACGATGGCCGTGCGTTAAACAACGAAATTGCAGCGACGAATGGCAACAACGAAACCGGGCAGCGTGAAATGACAATTGACCCCTATAAGAGATCA